GTAATAATAATAATAATAATAATAATAATAATAATAATAATTTGTCGTAGAGGAATTATATTCATTAATTAGTTATAAAAAAATTTATGGAAATCAATTATCATATACTACTATGGAAATCAATTATCATATAATTAGAGAAAATAATACTCCGTATAACGGAGAAATTTCACAAAAAATATATATGGGATATAAAAATTTTACGTTATTGTAAAGAAACATTTTGCGTTATTCGTGCTTATTAAATTCTAGTAGTTATTGAAAATTAATCATGCGTTATGCATTCCATGCGTATAAAGGTTCTTATATATGTATCATAAAAATTACACATCGTAAATAAGAAGCATTATTTTGCATTTGATTACCAAAATATTTCACTTCACAAAGTAAATATAATCACTATCTTCTAGACTTCAATTTTACCATGTCATCGTTCTACAAGCTCAGGTTATATATTGTACAAAGTATTTTATTACTATTTAAAACGGAGTAAATATTTAACATGTGTTTTTAGCTGTGTCATATACACACACATGCATCACATTGAAACATTTAAAGTATCAATCAATTATTTTTATGGATTTGAATTAAGAGCAGATTGGTATTATCTTAATTATGTGCATGTTGAAATGATTTTTCTAATGCAATCTTTATAGAATGGATCAAAATAACTAAATGAAAATTTTTTAACATCACGTTTATTTATAGTTTTTTTAGATACGAAAAACAATGATTTAGATATTTAGAAGGAGTGTTTTTTCTAGAAATATTTGCACTAAATAGCACTAAAACTTAAGTCATTTTTCTAAATATCACTTAAATTATATTATTCTTTGAATAGCATTTAATAATGTCCATTGTCGATGAACCAATTTAACCAAATGCTCAAGCTTGTGGGTGTGGCCAAGGAAATGTTTCTTATATTCTAACACGCCCCCTCACGTGCAGGCGTAGTCTTTTTCGAACATTGCACGTGAAATCTTAATTTTTTTAATTTGGGTGGCGTTGAGTTTCGAACCCGTGACCTTTTAGTCGATAAAGCTCTGATACCATGTCAATGAACCAATTCAAGCAAAAGTTCAAGCTTGTGGTTGTGGCCAAATAAATGTTTTTTACATTCTAACATCCATAATATCTAGTGATGACAAACATTTATTTAAATAATGACTAAAATACTTACGTAAATTTCCATTTTTTCTATTGCATGATGATGAACACACTCATGTGTACGCGAATAATCATACCCATGTATTTTTTCAAAAAATATTTTACTCATGTATTTTTCAATAATCTTATTTATTGAGTAGTTTGTAAGACCACATGTTGGTGTGCGAATATCACATTATATTTAACTCTATTTAAATGATTTTAATTATTGATTTATTTTTCATTGTGAACACAGGCCAAGACACGAATTCACTCATTTGCAGATTATTGTGATTGTAATGGCAAATGTTTTGGCTATGCAATTTGTGATGTTGCATGGATCGTCTCCCAAAAATGCATGCACCACATCTTTTTGCGAGTGTTATCCAAAGTGCTATGAAAAAACTATCGGACAATTTAATAATTTAACTGCATACAGAGAAGGATATTGTGTACTGTATTGTGATTATACATTCAATACGAAATGTTATAGTTTTTCTGACTGTCCCCACAGTATAGTGTAATGTATTCAACTCACGATACAAGATTATGAATAAATGTTTTCATATTTATGTATTTTGCAATAGAACATATTTGATGTGATTTTTAGTGTCGTTTCTCACCAAACGTTTAAAATGTATTATCAGTCCTTGTGCACGTAGACGTACTCACTACTACAGAATGAGTATTTAATAGCGCATTTTACACATCGGATAATTGATAACCGTTGTCTTTTCCTTTGGGGTAAATAAGGCGTGCGCACAAAAAAATCGAGCATCTAATTTTTTCGGAATGTTTTACCCAGCGGATAAAAACATATCCGCTATTGTAGATTTCCATGGAAATATAATTTACAGACTACTAAGAGCATGTTCTTTAGTGCTTGAACTCTTAACTTTCAGTTTCTTATAGTTTCTTCAAGTTTCTTCCAGTTTTTCCAGTTTCTTCCATGCCAGCTCCTTCCAGTTTCTCCCAATTATTCTCATTTTCTTCAAACTCTTTTTACTTCCCAACCAATTACTCTAAAAATGATATATTTTTATTGTGATTATTATTATTATTATTATTATTATTATTACAACTGCTATGTCCATAACTATAGTTTATAAATTATTATTTTTCATCTCACTATTTTTACAATTCACACTCATTACTTTTTTCTTCAACTTTATAATATCAATAAGACAATTTTTTGTATATTAATCTGTATGATAAAACAGGAAAACATCAATATGTTAAACTAGATTAAAAAAGTTATGGATAAAATAATGACATAGAATGTTTTATTAATTTAACTTTATATAAGACCTCTCACCTTTCCCTTTATTACTTCAAATTTGCTCATTTTTCTAATTTTTATAAAAAAAGTTGTAAGTCAAAATAGTTTAGAGAAAAAGACTAAAATAGGAGTAAAACATAAATAATGTATAAAAACGTTCTATGTCTTTATTCCGAAAATAGGATTTCTATGAAAATAAAATGTCAATCATGAAAGAAAAAATAGGTTTGATTACATTATGTGACATGTCTGATATTTAAAAAAAATCTTGTAATATATAAAGTATAATTACGAATATATTATTTATAGTAAATACTGCATAAATAAATTGAGGTGAAACGTAACCACAAAAACTTTTTAAAATTTAATATTTTTATATTTATGCTAACTTTATATTATAATTATTTTTTTTGCAAAAATAGTTTTTTTTTGTATTTGAAGCATAACAATATTTTTTTGTATTTTAAAGACATTCATTAAACTTCACCCTATCTATCCCAAATCACATGTACTTTTGCTGGGTTAGAGACGAAGCCTCCATCTCCCACAGACGCCATCCATTCCATCGCCGCTGCTCTATTTTCAGTTCATCTCTTCTCGCTCACAATTGTAATCGAAGAAACGCCTATCTCCGGCCGGACGATCTCAATAGGAAGCTCCAGTCAGCATCTCAGATCCCTCAAGCCCTAGGCTACAAACTCTCATAAGATTAAGGTTAGGGATGCTCTATTTTCTTTACGTTTACTGCGAATTTGCTCTCTCAATCTTCTCTATGTCGAATCTCTTGTAAGAACCCATTCAATTGACACAGTCTATGAAATTCAAAAAAATAAAAAAGGCTAATTTGAAGTATTGAGTGACTTCTATTCACAATGAGAAATAGCCCTACATAATTGATGGCCCAAAAAGTGAATCTTCATTTCATATAAGAAGAAAAATTTAGGTGAGGACTAGTCACTTTGCTTTCAAGCTAGTCGCCCTTTGATGTTTTTTGATCAGTTTGATGATAGATGGTTCATTCTTTGTGGTGAGAGTAAACCGTAGTTGCTATGCTATTTTAGGAGCAGATTACTTAGCCATTCTTAGTGGTAGAAGTGTGTTTTGCAATGTTCAACTTGAGTCAATTCAATTTCTTGTTTGTGCCTATTTAACAAGGCAAACATTTGCAATAGTTGGGTAATCCAATGGTCTTCTCCTACAGTTCTGTTTAGACACATTACTGGCTTTGCACTTACTGTATGAATTCAGTATGTGCATATACTAAAAAGGTTATGATTCCGTGACATTGCTGGCATAGCATACCAAATGAAATTTGCACTTTGTTGAAAAAGTTTTTTGTCAGGTTACCATAAACTAGATGGGTAAAGCATGTCATCATTTTTTCTATTAGAGCTCTCAAATTTATCTGAATGTGATTCATGGGATATAATACTTAGTTGTCATTCCTCTCTCATTAATATTATCCTACATGAACCAACTGCCAGTCCCCAGTGTAATCCCAACCCATTCGGATTGGTCCCCATGTCTCACTTTTTAATTAAGGGCATCGGAAACACACCCTTATGATATAACTATGTGTAGACTTTAATCAATACTTTGTACATGTTGGTTTTGTAAAATATCATTCAATTCACATCGATTAATATTTTAGTCAAGTCAACTTCCACTCTTTCGGATTCATCTAGTGTGTGTATATGTGTGTATATATATATACATATATATGTATGTATGTATGTATGTATGTATGTATGTATGTATGTGTGTGTGTGTCTACACACACACACACATACATATATATAATTTATTTATTTATTTATTTTATTTTTGGAAATATAAGCTCTCACGGCATAGCTAAAAATGTGAGATTCAGCCATGAAGGACGACAACGAGACTGAAGAAAAGAAACAAGCTGCGGCAGATGCACTGTCTCAATATTCAAGGTTTGTAATGGGCTGTATCGGGAATCAAGTACGGCCTTGTGACTTTAGGATGCACTTGATGAAGGAAATTTCAAGCTTGCCAACGACATTGAAGAGGGAGTCCCGTGCAGCAGCAGCATCATCTCCTGATATAATTGGAGAATCTTCCAGCTCGGGTACATCTAGACTCGATAAAACAGAAAGTTTTCGAGGTATCTAGCTAAACTGGACAGCAGCATATTACATTATCCATATGTGTTATCATACAGTCACCATCCTGCTTCTGCAACTCCCTTTCACCCCTTTCACATTCTTGCGAGACATAAAACAGTTGTCAGTGTGAAACATGGGAGAGGGGTATATTAGGCTCGTTTTTCAGTAACTATGGTTTGTTTTGAAAGTGTTTCGTGGCTTCTATGAAAGCATTGTGTTTGTTTCAAGACACCTTTTGTCTTCTGATAAGCGATATTGATCCTCTTTTAGTGGTTGTTTTGCCCTTGACTGATATATATACACACACACACACACACACACACACACATACACACATATATACATATACACACACACAATCAAAATTGCCATATCAATTTCCCACCAAAATCATAAATCAATGGCCCAATTCCGTTCTAATTTCGATTAGAAACCGCTATGCTACAGTTTTCTTCGCTCCTACTTCGATTCTGTGACCCCAAAGGGCGTCCTTCTCCGTCCTTCCGTGCATAGAGCCGGCGGAAAACAGCGGCTGTATGTCCCCCTCAGCCCAAGATTACAGCTTCTCCACTAATCGAGGTGAGTCATAATCATATGTTTATCATTAGCGTTAGTTCGTAGATTGGAATCACAATCGAATGGATTGTGCAATTGGATGAATTGAATGTTGAATTGGGTGTTGAATGTGTTTGGGTTGAATTTCCAACGAATTTTCTGACGGGTTAGCGACGGAACACTGGCATCGGGGCAGGTCAGATTTAGCAGACCACTGGACAGAGTTTGAATTGGTCCAATTGGACCTGTTTAGGTAAGGATTGATTCAATTGGGTTAGTTTTGGTGCAAATTGTTAAATTTGGGTTCAATTTGATTTGATTAGGTTTGGGCAGATTACGTCGGATTAATACTAACCGTACAAGACGTCGACAAACCAACTGAACAAGATGGCGACCAAAAATAAAATTCTTTTTTGGGAACATTCAATTTTTTTGATTATGTGTGCTATATTGTGTTTAGTACGGAGTATATAGATGATTAGGTTTATTCTTTGTTTTCAAGAGAAATGATATCTTTAGTAGTTTTGTGTACATTTGGACTCAAGTTGGTGATATTCTTTTTCATAAATATTAAGAGAAATTGCAACTTGCAAAAAGGTATGCGATCCATCCTATTTAACCAACAATGTTATATTTTTGTTTGTGTACGTTGTTACCATTTATATCTTACTACAAGAGTATTTGGGCTTTTAGTTATTATATTATTCCTATGTTAGGCTTACACAACACAAAGAAATATCGTGGGTAGAAGCAGCTAGGCCAGCAACACCCCATCAACAAGTAGAAGGCACCAAGGCAGCAATGGAGTAAAACTTAAGAGTAAACTTATTCATCCAAAAATGTTCTATTGCCAATTTGAAAGCATTTATTCCCAATCTTCTATCATGAGTTTGATACTTTACACTATTACATGGGGGCAGTTCGCAGGACTATAACATTTAGTATTATGTATATAATCACAATATAATACACAATATCCTTCTCTGTATGTAGTTAAATTGTAGAACTGTCCGATAGTTTTTTCATAGCACTTCGGATAACACTCGCAAAAAGATGGCATGCATACTTTTGTAGGCGATCCATGCAACATGACAAATTGCATAGCCAAAACGTTTGCCATTACAATCACAATAATCCGTAAATGAGTGAACTGGTGTCTTGGCCTGTGTTCACAATGAAAAAAAGTTAACAAATAAAATCCTTTTAATAGAGTTAAATGTGTGTATTATCACACTAATATGTGGCCATAAAAGGTAATCCCTCTGTCCTAATTTAAACCACTTATTTCAGTTTGAGTATTTGATTGAAGTTATTCTCAATGCTATTTATGTGAGAATGAGAAAAATAAAAGTTGCATTTTAACAAACTACATCGATCACAATCTCTACGAAACAAGAAGTAATATGACTATATTATTTTATCGACTGAGTAACAAAAACAAGGAAAGAAAGTTAAGGAAGTTTAACTCAGTGAATAGTCAATATGCAACTTAGAGGGTGTTTGGCACTGCATTGCTTTTTAGAGTTTAGCTTCTGCTCTAGGTGGTAATCATTTTATTATGTTTGGCATATCAACTTTGGTTTTTCTTTACCGTCATTTTGTTCATAGAATATCATTTCGGAGAAGCAGATATATGGTGCTTCAGCTTTCAGCTTTTGTGAAAATTAATTTATCCACAAGTTAATCACTCGCAAACACACTCTTAGTTTGGACAGAGAGTAATATATATGCCCCCTCCATTTTTTTTAAACACTACTCTTTAAATTTTTTCTTTGTCCTAAATACTTCCACTTTTTACTAAAAATCCACTTTCATCCTAATTTTTTCTTAACATTATATATGCATTTTCACTAATAATTTATCCATCACATCAAGAGAAAATTTGGCATGACTTAAGGGATAGAGTGCTTCTTTGGTGCACAGTGGGTGCATATCATTTTTGTGAATCTTCTCACATAAAAAATATTTTTTTATTTAAAAAAATTATTTAAGTAATAAAAAAATACTTATTTTGCTCATATGTAGGTCCATGGTGAACCTTAAGTCACCATAGAATTTAAATCATTGTCAATTTATTACATTAGAAAAAAGCTTTTCGCATAATATATTGCCATTCCTTTTTATAAAACAATTCAAATAATTAATTAACAATTTAAATGTATGAATGTAGATTGTGTATGACATACCTAAGAAGAAATGTTAATAATTTGTTAAATAGTAATCAAATACATTGTAGAATGTATAACCTTTAGCTTGTAGAATGATGACATGGTAAGAGATAGTGATTATACTTCGTCAAATGAAAATATTTTGATAATCAAAGGCACAAATCCGCACGATACAATAATCTAATATAATTCTTATGATATATATAAGAATCTTTATACCCATGGAATACATAACGCATTACGCATGGTTAGTTTTCAATAAGTACTAGAATTAAATAAAATTGAATCATGTAACATTTTCCCTCAAGAAAACGTAAAATCATAATATTTCACACTTTTATTGTGAATATCTCTTTTATATACTATCTTCATCCCAATTTATATTGTCTGTTGTTGTTTACGAGATTTGACCAATGTTATTTTTAATTTAATTTATTTGAAAATGGTATGAAATTTAAAAATAAAATTTATATATTTAAATACATTAAAAGATCTACAAAATAAGGGGTGAGAAGACTATATTATTTTCTCAAACAAGCAGAAAAAATGGATAAACAATATAGTTAAAGCTTGACCATGTAAATAGTAAATATAACACTTAAATTGGGATGGATGGAGTAGTTTTCTATCAACACCTATTATTATTTTTATTATTTTTTGAAAACTAAGATAATATTAAAGAGTACTTCATCGTCCCAGAATATTTGTCTAATTTTAATTTTTTAAAGTCAATCCAGATCGACCTTTAACCTATAATTAAATAAAATTACAAGCTATATTAATTAGATAAAGAAATATTTTGAAAATATATTACAAGATAGTTTTAATAAAATTATTCTTATATAGATATTTAATATAAATTGTTTTTACGTAATGATCAAAATTTATGATTTTGACGGCAAAAAGTCAAAATTGGAAAAATACTCTGAGACAGTGGTAGTAATAAAGTTTGGGGGTGAGTTTACCCATTCCCCAATAACCGCTAAAGCAATGCTATTTTCACAAACAAAATACTCACAAACTTCACAAACTTACTATTTATGATTTAAAATTTTATTTTAAAATCATTTTAGACCATTTAATTTTATGCATGAAAGTTCACAAATAGTAAATTTGTGAAGTTTGTAACCACTATGTTTGTGAACCAAGCATTTTCCTAACCGCTATAGATTAAGTAACATGCTTTAAAAAAGGCTCCACCTTATTATACATGAGGGATAAATAAATCTAAAACTAATATCTCTGCCACAAAGTACTTGGACACGCTCCCGAAGTAAATGCAAGGCCAAAGCACATGGTCTTGTGCATTAAAAGCATTTGAGAATAGAAATCAGCCAATCACAAAATGTCTCAACGCTTGAAGCATACCATCGATCCAAGATATGATCTCCCCACACTTTACCGCTTTCCCAACCAATTTATATATGCACCTTTGGGATAGCCTAAACCTTGCACAACTTATCCCAAAGAATGTTGTTTGATGTGTGATTTCCTAGAGCCGCAAGTAATCTCACTTATCATGAGCCGAAAACATAAGATCTATGTGTGTTGTATCTGCCAAAGGTATTGCCTCAATATACATTGAAGATGGAATTCATAGTTGGCCACTCCCACCTGCTATCTATCTCTAACAAGGTCCAAGACCTAGAGGATCGGAGTAGCAAAATATGACTTTTTGTGGCTAAGGGGCTGTTTGTTTCAGCCTCTTAATGGTTCAAATGTCTGAATGATTTAGCACTTAATGGTTCAGACTGTTTGTTTCAGCCTCTTAATGGTACAGATGTCTGAATGGTTAAGAGATTTGCCTCTGAATGGTTAAGTATTATACAGAGTCTGAATGGTTAAGACCTCTTATCTGAATTGATCAGACATTTGCCTCTGAATAGTTAAGCAATATACTAGCTCTTAATGGTTCAGACCTCCTCTTACTGGTTCAACACTTAATGGTTCAGACCTCTTACTGGTTCAGCACTTACGTATTCAGAAGTTGCCAAACAGCCACTATGTTTTAGTAGCAAAATAAATATTTGCCACAATATACAAATAGTCTACAATTATTTGTGGCTATTAAAACTTTGCCACAAAATGCTAGACTTATTGTGGCAATTGTTTAAGATTGCTACTATATGTCTATATCTAATTATTTAGACCCAAAGCAAAGCCCAATTTGAGACCCATCCACCAAAATAATAAGGGGTACATGATACAAAGATACAAATCACGTTTGAGGACACGATCCAAATTCTAGACTTGGTCCTTCTTCTTCCTTCTTCTTTTCCTTCTCGCCGGAACACCCTCCTTGGGCTGCTACTTGGCCGAACCACACAAAGAGAAGAGAGAGGAAGAGTTGAGTGTGTGAGTGCGGGTTACAAATGGTGGAGAAAATGAAGGGGGAGGGAAGGGTTTATATTAAAAGAATTAATGGTGAATAATGAGGGAATTAAATGGGGAGATGAATGGGGGTGTGTGGGGTGGCGTGTGATTCATTAGGGGAGTTACCTCCCTAAATCTTATCCCGTTGTATAAAATCTGACCTGAACGATACGCGCTTTCTCCCCGAACGAGTCCAAATCGAGATCCGTTTGCGTTTCTAGAATAAGACAGTCAAGATGAATATTATGGTGTGATCAAGTAATTTTTCTGAAGACTTTATTTTTCCTAACCCCGGTCCGAGTTAGTAATTAATTAATTAAATTAACCAATCCTAATTTTAATAGACTGGGTTTCAAGGCGTTACACCAGCCCTGGCGGTAGGGACCTACCATCCATCCGGTACCTAGGTACTGGACGGGTGCAGGTTCCGCCAGTGAAAATTAGCCTGTGGAGGTAGCACGGTACCCCTTGGTGGTACCTAGCTACCGTCAGTTGTGATTTACCTGTTCAGTAGCAGATTGTTCCCAAAACAAAATAGACGATCAATTTTGAATTCCGGTACAAGGACAAGCATTAAAAATGTCCTAATTTATATTTTAAACTAACATGATCAACTCCTTAACAATATAAGCCTTGAATCAATGTTAATTCATGAACTAACGCAAGTAGGCTTTCCATAGATCAACCATAACGATTCTATGAAAGTGAAATTCAAATCCATAAATGTAACCTAGCGTTAGATGTCCACACACTCACCCCGATTACGACGAATAGGATACTATGAAGATGATACTAACGAAAGAAGAGTGGCACAACTTCCTTCCTCCTCCTTCTTTCCTCTTCTTTCTTCTCTCCTCTTCTTCGTTGCTGCCTTCGGTTGACCAAGAGAAACGAGAGAGCGAGCGAGAGAGAGAGAGAGATGGTCGAGACGTGAGGTAGTGATACATAAATATGAGATGGCGTGAGGGTTTGAGTCGTGTAAGGTACTATAAACATTTTGGGATTTTGTGCTTGTAATTAATTAACGAACCTGGCCAAAATGCACTTTTCAGGCTCACAAGCTTTAAATTCATATCCGTCTGTGCCGTTGGATTCGTTTTGTCGAACCCTACACAATGGTATAACCATTTTTATCAAACGAAGAATATTTCAAAATTAGACTGAGAAATTAATTAATTATTTTTAATTAATTAATTATTTTTAATTAATTAATCCTGATAGACCGTAGTTTCGAGGCATTACATTAATGTTATTCGCTAAATGTAAAAGTTTGTTTATTTAAAGAATTGGATACTAATGTCTGAAACAAAAGAACTATTAGTGTTTTATAATAAATGTAAAATAATTTAAGGTAAAAAAATATGTACATTGGAAAAAACTTTGAAAATAAATTTGTCATGTTGACATGAGAAAAATTTGTTGATCCTCATCCCATGACATAGAATTGAACCATGAGCTTTTTGGACTTTTATTCACTCAAAAACTTCATCCAACGACATAGAACGCATGCCTTTTGGCACTCACTTAATATAAGTCTCATCATTTGACATGTAACCAAATGCCTTTTTACTTTGAATTCATTCTAAACCCGGTCTCACCAAAGTGTGTTCTTTGATTTTTTGTTATCTTACATTTTTTTTAATTTTTTATCCCAAAACTTACAATGCAATCATTGAAATATAAAATTTTCAGAAAAATATACTGCTCATAATCAATTTGAAGTAGCGGAACAACGTCATTTCATACTTTCAAATAAATGACAAGTTACAAATGTTTGACCTTAACATATTTTACAAGTTAACATATTTTTCAACTGTAACGCCCTACAAATCGGCCTAGTTTTAAATAAATAAATATTATTTATTTATTGAGACTCATTATTTTAAATTAATAAGTATTGAGATTTCGATCTCTTTAAATGGCTTTCCAAAGCTAATGTATTTTAATATAAAAAGATGTTTTAATAACGGACCTTTCAACATTAATTAAATAAATTAATTAATGATTGGGATGGACCCGGAAGTTTGAAAATAAAGTTCTTAGAAAAATTATTTGAACATGTCATTAAATTCGTTTTGACTGTCTAATTCCAAAAACGCAAATGGATCTCAATTCGGACCCGTTCGGGGGGGAAAGCGCGTACCGTTCAGATCAGATTCTACACAACAGAATGGAATTTCGGGAGGTAACTCCCCAAATCAAGAACCACATGCCACACACCCTTTACTCTCCCATAACCCCCCATTCAATACCCCATTTATTCCCTCATCATGTCTCATTATTTTCTTTTTAATATAAGGCCCTTCACCCTCCATTTCTCCACCACACATGTAACCCCCAAAGCATTCACACTTCCTCTCTCTCCCTTCTCTTGTTCGGCCAAGCAGTAGCAGCCTAGGGAGACAAATCCGGCGAGTAGACGAGGAGGAAGAAGAGAAGGAGGTGACCACGAGGAACCATTCGTCGTTCAACGTTGTCAACTATTTGCTCATCACGTCTCATCGTTTCGTCAACCCCCTTCGTTTAGAGGTGAGTAGTTGTCCCCTCTAATTCTAGAACATCAAGTCATAATCTATGTCGTTATATTCATAGCAATATCGTACGCAACCTACGTAGAATCTATGCATGTTCGTAGGTTAGCCATCAAAACGTTCACTACGTAAAACTTATAAATATTGGCCTAGGGTACGGTCGACCGTTCTGCGGGCAGATTTCGGGCAGTTTGCATGAAATGTTAATATTCATTATGTGTGTTATTTAATTGATATATTCTTGGCGTTGACCAAAGGTAAATACATCAAACATTCATTATGTTCATTCTAGACGCATGTACTAGGATCATCATCATGTGCATACCGCTGTAGGGAGGTCAGGCTTTCGTGCGCCTACTACAGTGGGACCGTCCAGGAACCTTTGGGATCCAACGGGTTTTCATCAGGTGGGCTTTGTGTACGTACATGGTAGTCAGGCTACGGCTACCACCTGGTTTTTGCTAGTTCACTTGCGACGTTTTGTCGAGCCCGGGTCATTACCGGAGTGCAGGGGTGATCCTATCAAGTGAGACTAAGTTAGGGCTGTCCCTAATAACTTAAGTCATGCATCAAGTCATATTGTCATCATGTATGTTTCATGTCACGTCAACATTCAATGTGGTTGTCATCATCATGTATGATTCCCATAATGTCCATATTCAATGTGGTTGTTATTCATTTTGTTATGTGTAATAATATCCAATCAAGTGCAAATTAATCAGTTAGCAAACATGTGGTTTTCTGTACGTTAAGTACAGGTATTTATATGTGTATAACCATATGGGTTATCACTTCATGTTCTTTTGTTAGATTCACTCCTCAGCTTTTGCTGAGCGTGTAGTTGTTTTTGCTACACGCAGGTAGACATGACGGTGCAGGTGCTAACCCTGGAGGACAGTGATGGTGGGAAGATGGGCGGCGCATGAACAAGTTCAATAATTAAATACGTTTAATTAATTAATCAATTGGGCATGAACCTACCATTTGTCGTTTTACTCATTTATTTACTTCCGCTTTTACTCTGCATTTATAACTCACACGTTTTGGGAATAACTCCTAACATTTATTTCACCCATTAAACATCAACGTTTTCATAATAAATAGTCATTAATATCCCATCAATTAAACCCAACCGTTTTCATATTAAATAATCATTAATGTTTTTGTAACGGACGGTTCTCGGACCGGCCATGTAACCCTACCGGTTCGTTGGGTCGCGGGTGAACCGGGTCCACGGAAGGCGGGTGTTACATTAACACATTAGTATCCAAATTTATTTATTTACAAAACTAATTAAATTTAGTCAATAAAAAGACTATATGTGCAATTTAAAGAATATTTTAAATTTTTTGGCGAATATCATAAGGGGCTATTAAAAATAATTCTATCTATGAAAAGAGTAAAAAGTGTAAAACAAGTTTAAAGGTATCAAAAGTTCTATCTGGACCGATTCAAAGTATTTGGGATTGGGCAGGATGATGCGAATTAGGTGCTATTAGGCTCACCCGAATAAACCTTTCCACGAAATGACCCAGTAGGAATGGTGGGACAAGTTCGGCTCCTCAAGGCGTCACCCTTTGCATCCATTTAAGTACCATTGTAGCTTAGACCACATGGTGCAGAGATCACTCTTTATAAAAAAATGAAACAACGTGTTTAAAAATATTTTCAAAAAGTTCTTTTCAAACAGATAAATTTATTTTTTACCAAACTCTAATCTCCCCACACTTAGGGTTGGCTTCGCCCCCGAGGTCATAACGCAAGAAAAATAAGAGTTTGGGACAGAGCTAGAAAATTCAAATTTTTGAAAATGGTTTTACGAAAAGATATTGCACAAAAGTTAGTCATTTATTTTTTTGTTGACTCAAAATAGTTCACTCGCACTTTTAACATCCAAGCTCCACCCGCACACACACACACACACACACACACAAAAAACGTGTAAAATGGAAAAAGGAAATTAAAATTTATTAACTTGGGTTACCTCCTAAGAAGCGCTTCTTTAACGTTACTAGTTTGATGCTAGCCCGTTTTTTACGGGACTTACCAATCCAAGAGTCATAAAATTTGGCCTTTTTCGACTCCGTTCTAATGCCACCTTTATTCTGTTCTTTTGCGGTCAGGGTCTAGGATCCTTAACTCCTTCCTGCGACTTGGTGGCAACAGGAAATATGGAGGAGACTCATTACAGATGGATGGTGGTGGGAGTCTCCTTTGTGTATCCTCATCATTGGCCTTCAGTGTTGGTTCATGACATTCCATGTCTCCAATGGGCTGACTTTCTATAGGTTGATCGATGATTACGGCGTGACCTTCCCCTGAGTCTTCAGTGTCGCTTATTAAAAGTCCGTTCCAGCGCATTTGACTATAACTTTCTTTCGGGTAAACATGGTTATACTAGTCAAGTAGGGAGTCAAAGAAAGCTTTGTCGAAATCTTCCGATGAGACTTCAGCAGCGAGAGTTTCTACAGACGGGATGGATTCAACATCACATGGTAGTTTCTTGTCTATAGATTTTTCGGGATGAGTAGTGTCGAAATCAGTGGGATTGGTAGTGGGCTTGGCTTTCTCCAGAATAGGTTCCTTTGGAGACGTGTCTTCAACACATGTTAGGAGGATATGTTCAGGCAAAGGCATGAATTTCTCCAAGTTTTCTGGTTTAGCTAGTAAAGGTGTTACCGAGACAGGGTCCTCGACGGGTTCCACCTTTTGTACATCTTGACTTTGAGGGCTTTCAGGAAGCATCACCACTGTACCTCGTGCAATCAGTTGTGGAAGTGATATCTTTTTTTCGATAGACATTGGTGATGGAGTCTATTGATATTCAATAATTGAGACATTGTTGGTTTCATTTTCAGTGTCAGTCTCAGATTCTTCGTCCTGTTCAAGAGTAATAATTTTCTCCAACTCTTGATTTTGAATCTGAAGATTTTGTTGTTCCATAGACTTCTTGAAGTCTTCCAGCATCTTTTGCATCCGCGCTTTAAATGTTCACGTTATTCTCTTTCAAACTTCAGGTCCTTTTGGATTTGGAGAAGTCACTTTTCTTTTTTAACAGTGTCAAGAAATGGTTCTCTTACCTGGATTGCATCTCTGATTGCTACAATTTTCCCTTAGCAACTCCGAGAGTAATCACGAAAATATGGTGGTTCAAATGATGAACACTCTATCGCTAATGCTAGGTCAAGATAACATATTCTTTCCTCAGTCTATAGAATTCCTTCAATGCAATGATCTGGCTAGTCATCATACATCGGCCCTTGTTGGTTGTAATCATCTTGATCACCATGAGGTTCATAATAGTTCCCACAAATGTCTAGGTATGGATAGTATCCAAAGTTCCGAGACGAGATATCATATGGTGGTTTCTCTATGGGTAATAGTCAGACCCATTATTGACTTGATAGTCATCATAATAAGGGTGCTGACATTAATAATTGGACTGATATGGGTGGTAATTGGACTGCTGGGAATATGATGGTGTTGAAATTGTGGTTGGTAGAAAGGAGGCGGATCAAAGTAATCATCTCAAAAATTCATTTTTTATGATTACTAGGGTGGTTGGTGAAAAAGAGGTGAGAAGATCGACCTAATCGGTCTTCACCCAAGCTAATTAAAAAATTAGACTACAATCATGCAACTCCCCGACATTGGCGCTATTTGATGAAAGATTTTTTCGGTAAGCAACCTTCCCAATGAAGGGTCAATTTTCTCTAAATGTCATGTCTCTCGAGGAGTGGACGAAGGAAATTAGCTAATTTTTCTAACTAGGCGAAGGTTAGGAGGGGTTTTAAAGTCTTCTTGATATGATTTAAAAATAAAATACTATACTACTAAGCACCTTTTGAGAAACGAAAATAAATATTACAGGTATAGAACTAGACTTTGGGCCAAGACATCATCTAGGTTAACTACTGTTGTCACATATCTAATAAATAATTGGAATAATAATATTTCCGTCACAAATATTTCATTAACTTATCCTCTCTCAAGTTACCATTAATGTGTTCTAAAAAGTTTAGCTTAATTAATTGTATCCTCATTGGCAAAGCAAAAACAAATTTCCAATGAACAATTAATTTTTCTCTTGACTTAATTAAATAATTTAACAATAAAAATAATTTTAGAATAATTATTCCAACTATTAAATAAACATAAAGAGTATATACCCAAAGTTTAGTTAGACCCTAATCTAGGTCCTAACCGATACTAAATATTAACAGAGTATAAAATAAAAGAAATTTTTTTAAGAATTGTAAATATTAAAGCTTACAATCGAAGCAGAGTCAGAGCTATTTTGGGACAACCGAAACATATTTATACAAAAATATAAAAATATAACAGAGAACGGGGCTAGAAATTGGCTCAGGGCGTTAGAAGAGCTGGAATAGAGAGATGATGGCAATGGGAATTGGGAAGAGGGAAGCATCGCATTTATTGGGTGCCGGAACTCCAGGTGTGCGCCTGGAGCCTGGGCTTGCGCCTTGCCAAGGCCTGGGCCGCGTCACCCAACTGTTGTCAGCTTATTTATTACGTCATCTGCGTTTCAGTCCAGGTGTGCGCTTAGAGTCGAGGCCGCACCTGGACTCCGCCAGGGCCGCGGTTCGGCCCATAACTTTGCTTTTCGGCCAAGTTTTAAATTTTGGCCCTGAGCGTGCTTCTAATTTGCTACATAGCACGTAAATATTTACTTTTGCCAGTTTTACACCACTTTTTTACTCAATCTTTATTTGTTTTGTACCGAGACATGATTTTTGTGCACTTTTATAATTATAAACAAAAACATTTAAAAACTAATGAAAAATTGTCTTGGTTGATCTAAAATTGGACAAATAAAACATTAAATATGAAGAAGATAAGTTCGTACAAATTTTCATTGGTTTTTAAATGTTTTTGTTTATAATTGTAAAAGTGTACAAAAATCATGTCTCGGTACAAAACAAATAAAGATTGAGTAAAAAAGTGGTGTAAAACTGGCGGACTTATCAATATATCTTATATTTCTCTTCACACCCTCTAAATGTCCTAACCAACAACCCTTCCCCCCGGCACTCCATTTTTTAGTATGTCAGTGTTTCTCTGTGTTAATAAGCTAGTCAAAACTGCTTATAAGTAATTTTTAACTAAAGTCAGCTAATAAGCTAGAATTAAGTATGTTTTAGCTAAATATTTTTAAGCTAATTTTTTCATTTCCTCGTATTGACTAGATTATTTACAAAATTGTCCCTCACCAATTATGAATATTTACAAATGACTTATATATTATTTAGAAATTACAATAAATAGGACTAAAACATAGAGAAAAGAACCAAAATAGGACTATTATGTTTTTTTTTCCCCGAAATAGGACTTTGTATTGTGGTAATGTGACTTTGGCATGTTGTAATGTGGTAGTGTACATGTGCAAATTACTATACTTTTTTGGTAATTTATATGACCATGTATGATAATGTAAGTCTTATTTTGGGAATAAAAACATGGAAGTCTTATTTTGGTATATTTTCAATGTTTGAGTCCTACTTTGGTCTTTCTTCCTATATTATTTAAGTCATTTTATTTCCACAAAATAATATTTGTCTTATAAGTAACTTATAAGTTTAAAACTGCTCATCAGCAATAAGTCAATAAGCACCGGCACAGAGAAACACCCTTATTGTAATTTATTTTAGTATAGTTTGCAAAATGTTCTTCCTAATCCCTGTTGTTTTCTGGAAAAAATCACTTCTTCTAATAAAAGGTGGAAGAATCTTTTTATTAAAGATAGGGAATATTCCCTCCGTTCCGAAATAGATTACAATATTCCCTCACATTTTTGTCCCAAAAAGAATTACAAAGTCAATAACTTTACAAAAAATTGACTCTTTTACCCTCCCACTCCTACACTATTCACACACTATTCATCCATGTGAGTGGGAAGGATGGGGGATTTGGGGAAAAAAAAATTTGATTTGACTCTTCCTTAATTTCAACAAATAGGGAATATTATAATCTAAAGTGGGACGGAGTAGGTATATGTGATTCTAGGCAAAAAGACGATAACCAGATGAGCAACATCATCTACTATCATACTCCGTATGATTTTTGGATTAACTAAAGCAGTAAATATCATGGGACTTTTGCTTTGTAGGAGAGATTTAAGGGGAGTGTATTTTAGTATTGAATTTCCAAAAATGTCTTTTGATGTGATTAGTAAAAGTATGATTTGATGGATAGATTATTAGTAAAAAGGTATGATGTGATAGGTAGGGTATGAAAAAGTAAGGGGTAAAAGTGACTTTTTAATAGAAATGAGAAGTGTTTTGTGAGACGGATAAAAAAAGAAATGGGAAATATTTCATGGGACGGAGGAAGTACAATTTTACGTTTTCAGAAAGAAAAGTGTTACATCTTATTTAATTCTAGTAGTTATTGAAAATTAATGCTGCGTTTGATTTCCATGCCTATAAAGATTCTTATATATATGGAGTATATAATAAGAATTAGATTATTGTAATTAAGAAATAATATTGTGGCTTTGATTATCAAAATACTTTCACTTTGACAAAGTATAACCACTATCTTCTACCATGTCATCATTCTACAAGCTTTATACATTGTACCAAGTATTTGATTACTATTTAACAAATTAATAACATATCTTCTTAAGATTTAGATACGTACACACCCACCACATTGATACATTTTAAGTGTTAATTAATTTTTTTGAAAGGCTTTAAATTATTTTTAAAAGTAGAGTGGCAATATTTTATGTGAAATGATTTTCTTCAAGTGTAATGAATTGACCACGATTTAAATATTTAATGGGAGTGTTTTTTTAAATTCAATGATGAACCCGCCCTAGTGGGTAATTGGGTATGCATAATCACTTCCATGTATTTTTTTAATTATATCACTTATATCCCATAAGTCAACAAGTAATATACATTACTTCCTCCTTAAATATGAGTTCTCTGTTTACTATTTGTAGGTTCAAACTTCATTCATTTTTTTTCTCTATTTTTGTTACCTATTCAATAAAATAATATATTCGTGTTACTTCTTTTCTCGTAGAGTTCTTGATGTAGTTTGTTACAATGTAAATTTTATTTTTATAATTTCACTCTGATTTTAAAATAAATAATATTGAAACTAATTCCACTCAAACAGCGTAAACTGAAATAGATGATTTAAATTGGGATGGATAGAATAACGTTTATGACCTGATGTTGGGGTGCTAATATCACATTTAACTCTATTAAAAGGATTCTAATTATTAACTTTTTCATTGTGAACACAGGCCAAGACATCAATTCACTCATTTACAAATTATTGTGATCGTAATGGTAAACGTTTTGGCTATGCAATTTGTGATGTTGCATGGATCGCCTTCGGATGTATGCACAACAACGTTTTGCGAGTGTTACCCAAAGTGCTTTGAAAAAATTGCTGGACAATTCAATAATTTACCTGCATATAGAGAAGGATATTGCGTATTATATTGTGATTATACACTTAATACTACATGTTTTAGTCCTACGAACTGCCCCCATGTAATAGTGTAAAGTATCCAACTCATGTTATAAGATTATAAATAAATGTTTTTGTATTGGCAATAGAACAAGTTTGAATGAAAGTGCTAGAATATAAATAATCTTTCCTGTGCTAGAACCACAAGTTTGAGCTTTTGGTTGAGTTGATTCCTTAAAATGGCATCGGAGCCTTGTTGACTAGAAGGTCACAGGTTGGAAACTTAGTGCCACCCAATTTTTTTTAAAAAAAATTAAAGTTTCACATGCAAGGCTCCAATACAACTACGTCTGCACGTGAGGGGCGTGTTAGATTATAAATAACCTTTTTGGCCTGCGCCATAACTACAAGCTTGAGCTTTTAGTTGACTTGATTTCTTGACAGAATGTAGTTAATAGCATTATGTATTCGGACCCCACAATTCTCTTTCCCTCAATCCTTTTTTTTCCT